TATCAAAAGTCGAACAAAATTCATTCATAGCTCTATTCTATCTCATGTCGTAGATACAAAACACAAGATTGATGTTGATAAGGCGGTTTTCAGAGTCCTGTACCCCATACCAACGTATCTTAACGCCACTGTAAGAGTTCTTCTACTACATATTGCTGAGTCTGGCTGTTGGGATCCATATTAAGAAGCCTAACTTATATATCCAAAAAGAAGAAGTTAGTTCAGACATTGTCCTTACCTTGGCCATCTAGGTTCTAATGATCTTCAATTTGTTGTGGAAATTTTCCCCTTAATTTTATTTGATATCCTATTTGATATTACATTTTTATGCTTATTATCATTTATGCATCTGCAATTCCACTATGATCTTAACAAATCAATAGTATTTAAAAAAATCAATATTGTTATTGACTACTATTCTAGAATATTCTATGTATACAAACATATATATTACTATAGAACCAGAGTAGGGAGTCATCGAAAAGGATATTCTTCGCTCAATTTTTTCGGTTTTTTTTCTAGATTTCTGTTAGATTTCAAAACCTCTTAGACTAGCAATTATTTCCAATAGTTTGTTTGTAAGAAGTTGAATTGTTTTGAAGGTTCATCATGGATTGATATCAGTGTGAGAACAGATCACTGAAAACGATCACTCGAGTACTGCTGGACAGCTAGATGTTTCGTCAGCTTAGTTTGGTACTCTAAGACAGTACGCACCCCTACCCCACTGTCAGAGTTCAACTCTAAGAAAGCTCATAGACCACTCAGCCACTGGAACCAAAGTCAAGTTCGATCACGATCATTGAGTACATGGCAATTTTTCCTACTGGGATTGTAATTGGTTAGAAATACCTAAGGAAACCTTCTTGTACTTTTAAATATACCTTCACTTGAACGAAAACTATACATCTCTATAAGTCAACTTTTATTTTCAATATATATTCGTTCATAATTAATGTATGCTCGGTAATTCAATGTGATTCATATCCCATCTTGTAACACCAGTCACTTTTCATCCTGTTGGTATTATATGGTTGGAGGCAATCGGCAGGAAGTCTTGGATTTAAGTTTCGTGCACGTTGGCACTCTTCAGCAAGGCGTATCTGCAAACTTGAAGGAGTTCATATCCTTTCTGAGATTCGAACCTGTGTCAACAAGTGTTACCTGTAGTGAGAAACGTTAACACTGAGCTATTTGGGCTCACGATTGACTTCCTGACTGACAGAATTCAGTCTACAGCAAAGATAGGACTAGATACACATTACACTAGTTACTGACTAGTGTGCAATCAAAAGTACTTCTCATCCTTCCCTGACATTCTATTGGTTTCATGAGATGTAACGGGGAGAACACAGATTCTTTTTTTGGATTGATGTGGACCTTCTACGTTTAAAGTTGACCTTTCACTTACTTTTTTGTCAACAGATTCACCGATATACATATACTTCATCAGATTAAGGTATCATTCTTTTTAGAATCAATTAGTTAAAAAGGATTGGTGGTTTCAACTTAGAATCAGTTCAAGAATATTCATGTTCATATTAGGCGGTTGAAGGAAATCGGCTAGAAGAAGCTCTCCATCCAAACTAGGTTTCGCGTTAGCTGGCACTCACTAGTCAGTCAAAAAGGCAAGCATATTTGCAATCTTAAAAAGGTGGTCATTTCCCTTCTGATACTCTAACCCACGTCGACATCTAGTGCTGCAGTGAGTCAGAGATAATACCATTGAGCTATTAAGACTGGCATTTAACTTCCTGTATGACTAAATGTATTGGATAATTTGATTGATCACATTGTAAACTTGACTGATAGAATTTAGTTTGCACCAAAGACAGGTGGACTAGATACATTACAACTAGTTACTGAATACTGTCCAATCAAACTGTTCATGTTGTAAAAATGATACCGCTTGAGTGCACTACATTAACTCATATATACTGACCTTTTAGGAGACTTGACATTGAAAATAATTAATAATAGTAGTTATTATTATCGGGAAAACAAGACAAGCTTTTATTAACCTCAATTTTATGTGGAGGTCGACATCACTCAGAATGAAAAATAAGATCCCGATTTTCAACTCGAATGTGAAGTCAGTGCTACTAGCTACACGGATCAGAGACTTGGCACGTTACGAAGAGCACCTCAAACAAACTACAGACCTTCATCAACAGCTAGCTGTCTTCACTCAATACTACTCAGGATCAGATGGCCTGTCAGAAAATATCACCAACAGGGATCTCTGGCAATGAAAGAACCAACCCAGCAGGAACCGATTGTGCAAGAAATATGCAGGAAGAAATGGAGGTGGATCAGAGGACATATTCTGAGAAAACAAACCATCAAATAACATCACACGCGAGGTTATCTCTTTCGAGTGGAATTCGAACGGGGAGCGTCGAGTCAGTTGGTCGTCGTTGCGAGGGTGACATAGTGGAGGAGGAGGTCATGTGGAGAGGAGATGTAAACATGTGGGAAGACCTGAAGCCAGGTGAAAACTTCGTCGGAGAACCGAACGCAATGGAAACGTGTGGTTGAAGTCCTATGTTCCTCTAGAATTAAAGGAAACAGTAATATAACAATTATTATTTTTCCCTTGGGTTCCGAGTGGAACATGGTACTTCAACAACACACCGCTACTTTGTTCTATTTTATGTCACCATCTTCAGCTAGGTGCACGATTGCTCAAACTCTCTTATCTTTTCCTTTCACGATCTCTTTCATTTCACCCTCACACTGACGACCCACTGGTCGCCTCCCATCGGGATCCCACTAGAGTAATGACCTGCATGGAGCGCAATGTCGTTCGACCGATGGCCTCCTCAGTAGCGTATGACAGGTCCATCTCCATTTTTTCGTACAAATTTGTTGAGCAATCAGCTGTCAGTTGGTTCGTTCATTGCTAGAGTTTCTTGCTGCTAATTCTTTCCGGCCGGCCATTTTGTAATCAATGTGAAGCCGGCGAAGCTGACAGCTGTTGATAAAAGTCTCCACTGACCTGTTGGAAATGCCTTTTGTGATACTCTGGGAAAGATTTTGACCATGTGGAAGAATCGGCTTAACAATTGTGTTGAACAGAATTCGAATCTGAATGCAGACGCTATCAGGACGTTTGAATATTTGTGTACGACGTCGTTACCATTGATTGTATGACCAAATACCGACAATATTTCATAGAAAATCTCAATAAAGTGAACTTATGAACAGTTAAGTAGGCGTATCTGATGATTTTGAATGCAGATTCTGCTTTCAATAATCACTTTCTTTGTTTCACAGTTAAACATTAAGTAGGAACATTCCTGGATCTATGGTGCCTACTAAGCATAATATAGTGTGAAATAACACAGAAGATTTGTAGCTCAGGCGAATGAATTGTAAATATTAGTGTTCTCTGAGCTGGTTGGTTGGTTCAATTGCGCAGCTGTCGTCATCCTTCTGGACAACATCCCCCTTAAGCATAGAGTGAAATGATTTAAATTTATTCATGAGTGATATAATTGCGTCTGATGGTAACCATCTGTATTACATATGTATTGATAATTTTCTATTGACTTGGATTTTAAACTTTCATATCACATGATCCACTTTTTATTAGTTGGTATATTTCGTCTATATTAATAGGTCTGTTGACTGCATATTCCTCTGAGTACCAGGCTTCTAGAAATTCCCTGACTGCACTTTTCGTGTTTCCTCTGTCTAAAACTTCGACAATATCCCAATCAAATTGATGTCCATAATTGTCTATATGCATTGATACTAAAGAATATATATCGTGTCTCTTCACGGCTGATTTGTGTTCCTGGATTCTGATTCGAAGGAGACGCCCACTTTGGCGGATGTAATGCCTGTTACAGTTCATAAAATTTATTTTGTAAATGGTATTAATTTTATCTCCTTTTTTGTTGGATCTTTCGGGTTGTCCAATATCGAATGAAATGATTAAGTTGTGTGTGATATATCTATTTTAAATGGATTTAGTATTCTAGCTGTTATTTCAGAGATATTTCTCATGTATGATAGGATGAATTTTCTTTTGGTCTTTGATGATGGTTCCTTGTTGTTGTTGTGATTTGATTTAAACACTTTTTGATGAAATTGTGAGGATAATCATTCTTTTCGAAGACCGTTTGTAGGTATTTTTCTTCCATTCTTTTCAACTCTGGAGTGCTACAGTGTTGTGTTTGAATTCTTTTAAACAATGTCTGCACTTAGTTTCTTTTGTGAGTAATTGGATTATTGCTAGAATTACAGCTAGAATACTGTAACCGCTTGATATAGATATACCACACAAGCCAGCCAGTCAAATCGCTTTATTCGATATTATGCAAACCGAAAGGCCCATCCAACAGAAAAAGGGGATAGAATTAATACCATTTACAAAATAAATTGTATGAACTATAACAGGCATTACATCCGCCAAAGTGGGCGTCCCCTTCGAATCAGAATCCAGGAACACAAATCAGCCGTGAAGAGACACGATATATATTCTTTAGTATCAATGCATAAAGAAAAGTATGGACATCAATTTGATTGGGATAATGTCGAAGTTTTAGACAGAGGAAACACGAAAAGTGCAGTCAGGGAATTTCTAGAAGCCTGGTACTCAGAGGAATATGCAATCAACAAACCTATTAATATAGACGAAATATACCAACTAATAAAAAGTGGATCATGTGACATGAAAGTTTGAAATCCAAGTCAATAGAAAATGGTCACTACATATGTAAGGGTGTTTACCGGCAGACGCAATTATATCACTCATGAATAAATTTAAATCATTTCACTTTGTGCTGAATATTGCGCTGAATATGTTGTCCAGAAGGGGGTCGAGGAAAGCTCCGCAACTGAACCAACCAACCAGTTCAGAGAACACTATTATTTGCATAATATAGTGCCGTGAATGGATTTATTCATTAGTTTTACTTATAATAAAACCGAGAAAAGCTTGGCATAAAAATTCAATTAATAAATTTTTACTTACTTTATTCATATTTTTTCAGACGGTGAAGATATGTGTAGAATCAGTTGTACTGAAGATCTGCACGACGCAATTGTGTCTACAGCAGGACTTGATGGAAATGCAAAAAGTATACGAATTTATGTAGCAAGTAAACAAAGTGATCTAAAACAGCCTCCTATTAGTAAGAAAAAACGTGGAACCGGTGAAGATTTACAACTTCCAGAATTACCTGAAGAATTAGAACACCTAGATTTTAGTGAAGCCAACGCTGACAAGGTAGTCGAGAATAGCAATGAAAGTCAACAGAACAATGAATCAGACAGTAAACAGACAAATGATGCTCCAGCATCGCCGACACAATATCAAAATAATAATAATATCAATAGTGGAGGAATTGATCATGATCATAGTACTCCAACTGCTCCCCAACTCAGTCCATCTCCAAACGATCCAAATCTTCAACCAATCAAACCTGAACAACCTATAGCCCCTAGTTATGCTCCAAACGTGGCCTTTCCAAGGATGTATCAAGGTTACAGCCGATATCCACCTCAAGCCTATGCCAACTATCAACCAGGAATGATGGTAGCAGGACCTCCTGGTCCAATGCAAGGACAACCGACACCCTCTTTTACACAAAATATGGTTATGCCGCATGATTCTATGTCATCAACACCTAATAGTTATGCATACCCTATGAATAGTCCTACTATGAATAGACAGGTACCGCCTAAAGTTAATCGACTACCGCCTTCTATGATGAATTTACCAAGACAACCAAGTGTGACAGGAAAGACACCTATCGATACAATGGGAATTATTAATCGGTTACGTTTAATGGGTTTTCAACAGAATGATGTTTACCTGACCAATTTAATTCGACAGCACAATGGTAATTTAAATACAATATTGGATAGGCTATCCTCTGAAGAAAACAGAAGGTTACAATAAACTTGATCATCTTTCTCTGTTTGTCTTTTTGTTTGGTGTTTTTCAAAATTACATCTTACAATGTGAAGAGTTATAATTGAGTAAATATCATACATAACACTAACAAAACCGAGTTACTCAAACCAACTTTATATAAACATATATATATATATATATAATAGGCCAGAAAAATGTGAGTTATTTTTATCTTGTCTGTAAGATAAGAAATCTCAATTCACAATAAATTCGGTACTGATTTTTGATGTTCACCACTTTCAGTTTCTAACAAATTACTGTTTCATACTGATATGGGGCTCTAGTCATCAATTGAGGGGGTGGGGGAATTTGGAATTTCCCAGCGGGGGAAATTTCTACGCTTTCGTCGTTGGATTGTTTGTTTATTCATCTTGTTTTATTTCAAATTTTTGTGTTTTATGTAGACTTCTGTGATATTTTCTTGTTCATTACTGACTCACTTTCGTTTTAAATAAAGATAAATATGAGAGGAAATCATTATTTATTTCTTTTATGACATTAGGCCTGTAGTTAGGCGATTCTTACATCTGTTGGAGGGTTTCACCCAATACTTGAAAAGTGTGGGTTTTTAGGAATTTCATCATGAGCTGACATTGGTTAGAGAACCATTGGAAAATCTAAGAGTACTGGACAGCTGTTTCGTCTTAGTTTGGCAGTCTTCGGGAGTACGCACCCGCCGGAGTTCGAACCCAGGACCTCCTGGTTAACAAGTCGAGCTCGTTTTCCATTGAGCCACTGGGGCTCGATCCAGTGGCACGATGAATACTTATCCCACGGGTCGGGTGTGAGGACAAATAGTCGTCGAAGACATTGGCTAGGGGTCCCGATATGTCGTGAATTGGCAGAAGTTAGAATCCATGGGTTGGCCACTGAATTGGGTCTCAGTGGCTTAATGGTCTACGAGCTAGCTCACCCTGTAACTAGAAGGTCCTACGTTCGAACCCTGAAGCGTACGTACCGATGAAGAGTCCATAACTAGGGCGGAACCACTGTCCACTACTCCCATGTTTTGATGTCAGCTCATGATGAATTTATTCTAGATTATTACATTTTTCCAATCAACATTCACACAGACCGCTCTTATTACCACATTTATTGTTGTTTGGTTAGAACACACAACCTTCCATTTACAAGGCGCTGTCAGAAGTTGGAATTCATCAACTGTCCATTGGAATGGATCCCAGTGGCTGGTCAAATGGTCTACGAGCTAGCTCAACTTGTAATTGGAAGACAATGGGTTCGAACCCTAGCAGTGGAGCGAGTACATACTGCTGATGAGTCGCAAACTAGACTGACAAGGGACCAAGTGTTATTCCGATCACGACAATATGTGATTCGCTTGATATCACCATAAATAGTAATCGATAAACAAGAGAATTTGTATATAAGTATACAAGAATGTTTGATATATATATATATGTATATATATATATATATATATATGAGCAGATCAGTATGCAACTACTCATTCCAATCGGTTAGTAGTATATTGTTTTACACAAATTTTCTTGTTTTCTTCATTACTATTTATGGTATCAAGCAGATCGGTGAAATTTCACCACGCATATTTTGTAAATTACAAACTATGAATTACTGTTTCCTCAAATTAGTCTGTAGGCATTCTGTTTGTTTTACATAAGACAATGGATTGACATTAGTTAGAGAGCTATTGAAAACCAAGGAATACTAGACAGTTGTTTCGTCCTAGTTTAGGACGCATCGGCAGTACGCAGTCACTGGGTCTCGAACCCAATACCTACCAGTTACAAGGCCAGCTAGCTCATAGACAATTCAGCCACTGGGATGTGATTCTAAATTTGACTAATTCATGATTTTGGCATGAATACCAGTGTCAGTGTTGGTGAACATTGAGTCGTTTGGTCATTCGAACTGCTGACCATTTGGCGGGACTCAAGAAGGCTGCAGTTGCTGAATTGTGCACTAGTTGGCAGAAGATTGGAAAAATACGATAAGAAATATTCTCGTATATTACATAAATGTTTATTTACGGTGTTTAGTAACGCGTCGGTAGCATAGCTGTGAGGATACTTGCAGACCATGCACATGGTCCGAGGTTAGATCCCGGCCACCGACGCATTCTTTTACCTCACTCAGCTAGAAGTAAAGCTTGTGAAGAGGTAAGGCTGGGCATGAGGTTAGCAACCCTATCCGCTAAAAATAAACACTGCTACAGAAACTTCAAGCCTCTAGGTTGAAGCCCTATGTTCCACTGAGGAACGTGAAGGAAAAAAAACAGACTTTAGCGCTGATTAACCACTGTAAATCTATAGTGCAGACTGAATTCTGTCAACACGAAACCTAGGTCCAAGGCTTCCTGTAGCCGATTGCCTCCAACTATATAATACCAACAATTCTTAGTGCACCATAACAACGAGTCACCTAGTGGCATGGTGGTCACACTGCAAACTTGACTGACTGAAAGAATTCAGTCTGCACCAGAGATAGGACTACACACGCACACATGCATATTAGACTAGTTACTGACTAGGGTCCAATCAAAAATATTCAATACAGTTAGTCTTACAGAAGGGTCAATCGCGAGTCTAAATAGCTCAGTGGAAACGTCTCTGACTGCAGGTGGTACTAGGTGATGTGGGTTCGAATCTCAGAAGGCACATGAGTTCCTTCAGATTGGTCGCAAATACTCCTTGCTCATGAGTGTCAACTAGCATGAAACCTTGATCAGATAGGGCTACCTGGTGATTGCCTCAAACCATCTAACAGAATGGGAGATGAATTGGGCATACGCTGAGAAGACAATTGAGTGTTATCATTTTTATGCGTAGCAAATTTTATCTGAAAAAAAAGTCTACTGCCCTGCTCTTGTTCTGTATTTGTAAGTATAAATGTGGTACTAATGAGGCATACAAAAGTATTAAAAGTTACTGGGTGATTGATTTTTATATTTTTATTCTCCTTTATGAGTCTGAAGCAGCCGGCGAAGACAGGACTCCAGGTGAACATGGACAAGAGTGAGGTTATGAAAATAACCAACCGACCAACAACAACAACAGCGGCAACATCCAGCGCCAATTACCATCAACGGGAGGGATTTGAAAGAGGTTACTTCATTCACTTATCCAGCATTGAGCATTGTCTCAACTACAGACAGTCGGAACGGACGAGGATGTCAAATCGAGCGAGAATCGGGAAGGCGAGAAACACATTCATCAACCTGAAACCAATCTGGAAATCTTCGTCACTCAGCATCACCAACAAAATTCGGATTTTCAATACAAACGTCAAGTCAGTCAGTTCTTCTATACGGATCAGAAACTTGTCAGGCGGGTGGGTCACAAAGAATATTTCCAACAACCTGTTGCAGAACTTTATCAACCAACAACTGTCTTCGCTGGCTCTATACTGAAGATCAGATGGCTGTGGCGGGAAGAATCACCAACAAGAAACTGTGGGAAAAAAGAAAATAAGAACCAGTCGCCAACCATTAAATATACAGGAGGAAGTGGGGATGACACATTGGACACTCGCTGAGGAGGCCGGCCGCTGGATGACATCACGCGCGCGTCAGGCCATTGGTTGAGTGGAACTCGAAAAGAAAGCGGAGAATGGGACGTCGGTGCAAGGGTGACATGGAGGAGATCGTGTGAAGATGAGTTGAAACAGTATGGACTAACATGGATGCAGGTGAAAAGTACAGCAGAAGACAGAAACAAGTGGAGACGTGCAGTGTAAGCCCCATGTTACACTGGAAACCCAAGGGAACAATAATAATGATAATAATGAATCTGAATAAAGTAAGAACAACAACGGTGGTTTGTGCAGAATAAAACTGTATCATCATTTATTTCGTTACCCTCTCATCAACTGCTTATAACCTTAAGGCATTATAAAGTTTTCCTACGGAAACAGTTTAAACATAACCATGGAGAGTCCATTTTTGCAAACAAAAATTCAATGTATGCATACAATGACATCAATAATAATCCTAATCACTTTATCCCACACAATTATTATTATTTCCTTTAATTTCTAGAGTAAAATAGAGCTTCAGCCGAACGTCTTCATTGCGTTCGGTTCTCTGCCAACTTTTTCACCCGGCTCCAAGTTTGCCCACACGCTTTCATCTCCTCTTCACATGACCCCCTCCAAGTCACCCTTGCACTGACGACCAACTCGCCGCCTCCCTTTCGGGTTTCCACTTGAGCAATGGCTTGTCTAGTGATGTCACTTGATGGTTTGTTGCCTCAGAGTATAGCTAATCCACCTCTATTTCTCCCCGTTTATTTGTTTCACAATCGGTTCCTGGTTGGTTCGCTCATTTTCAGAGATCCCTGTTGCTGATCTTTTCAGGCCGGTCATCTGATCTTCAGTAGTATTGAGCAAAGAAAACTGTTAATGAAGGTCTGAAGTTTGTTTGAGGTGCTCTTTATGACGCGCCAAGTCTCTGATCCGCATAGAGTAGCAATGACTGACTTCACATTTGAGTTGACAATCCGGATCTTATTTTCGATGCTGAGTAGGGCTGTTGACCTCCACACAGACTTGAGAGTAACGAAAGCTTGTCTTGCTTTACTGATCCTCGCTGCTTTTATATCCTCGTCATTTCCGCCTGTAGTTGAAACGATGCTTCCCAGGCAGGTAGGTAAAGAAGGTTGTTTCTTTCAGGTTCCTCCCGTTTATGCTGATTGTTATTTGTTGTTGTTGTTGCTGTTGGTGTTGCCCAGGAGTCTTCATCTCCACTGTTTTCTCTAATAATAATTATTATCCCAAACAATAATCATACAAAATGGAATTTCTTGGCGTTACGTAATCAAATGAAAGAGAGAATAAAGGCATCCAGTCCTCATGGCAAGGAAAGACTTCTGCTTCGATCTGAACACATGAATCGAGTTTTAGTTGCTTGATAGAGATCCCCTCAGGAAACTTTAGGAGAATTGAATTCTTTTACCTATGGATAATTTCGAAGAATCTTGCGACATCCTTCAAAACACCTGTTTCAAGAGGATGCCTTGCAATAGCACCGCTGAAAGTGTTTGTTCCCTTGAGACGTAGAATTTTTGGTAAATGTTCAAAAAATCGGAGGTGTGTCCTTCTTCCTGTTCTTCCAATGTAACTGCTCCCTTAGATACACGTAGATTTGTACACACAGAGAGAGTTAACATGAGAAGGTTATCTGCCAACCTTTGAATGTACCAAAGAGTTTGTTGTTCAATAAGTAGGAAACACTTTGGTCGCAGGATAAGTTCTGATCAGTGACGTATTCAATCTTCAATCGATTATTCTTGAAACTTTGTCACCTTTAAAACCAAGTTGAATGAAGATAGGCTTCTCTTGCAACCATGATTCGTTTGGCATCGCAGCCTTCACATCTCGCATACTTGTTAATGAACCTCTGAGGGTAACTGTTGTTCTCAAACATCTTTTCGAGAATCAGGAATTCTTCCCCTTATTTGTCAGTGGCTCTATAGTACGGAGATTTTACAAGTGCT